CTGAATCGGAGAGTGTATTGTAGAAGATTTTGACAATCCCTTGGACTGAGAGGGTTCATACGCTAATAGCAGTTACGGGCAAAAGGCTGGCTTGCCATCGCCTGATTGTGGATGCAATTGGTCCCAACAGATATTGCGATGGCCGTCCTTACTGTGGTGGAGCCCCTGGTGGTGAGAACATTCTTAATATCCCTATGGGGAATCTAATTTGATAGTTCGTCCTCTCATTGAGACGTTCGTGCAAGTTTGGTGCGACCACTGTCGGTCTAGCCTACGGGGCAAGAACTCGTCGTCTGCCCTCTCGTTTAGATCAAACATGCTTCACCAGGTGGTTTCGACAGTAGCGGGAGTGTCGCATCGATTAGTACTCCCTTGTTAGGAGAGTTCGGTCCCTTCGTTTAAACGCCATCATTTGGTGAGATTGGGCGTAACGGGGCCTCTAGCTGACGCTTCCTTCGAGGAACCGGTTTTCCATGTTACCGAGGTCGTCAAGCTCGGCTCAAGCGATGCAGCTTCTTCAGATCCTTCGACTGCTGATCGAGGGGTGGCACTCTCCTTGGGACTTACGTCTGATCCAAGAAGAGAAGATAGCGAGTCTAAGATAGTCGCGCCGGTTGAGGATGAAGTTCCTGAGAGACATGCCTCAGAAAACCCCCAATACGTTGCGTCTTCTCCGCATCAAGAAAAGGATGTCACGTATGCTTGTTTTGACCTTCCCCGTGAGTTTTCTCCTCTAAACCTTTACCCCTTAAATGGGAGATATCCGGGAGTCCACTCGTGAGATGGCCAATTGCGCTTTTGGCCACAGGCACGTTTATCATACTTTCTACTTTGGGGAGGAATGCCGCGACGGAACCTTCAACGCGATTTATGTGAGTTATTCTACCTTCTCTTTGTTCTTCGTTATTCCTGTTCCCCGTCTGACGCCTCATTTCGGTTATTTCTACCAGTTGCTAGCGGCTTCCATGCCTTATCCCTGGCCTTGCAGGATGAGTTGGCTACCAAGAGGGTCCGGGAACAGGAGAATCAAGCCGAGGTTCAACACCTTTAGCCGACCGATCCACCATCACTCATGCTCAGTTCGAACGTATTTAGTCGAAGAGGCAAATGGCCACGAAGATACGACCCGGGTGGAAGAGAAGCCAATCCTCCT